CAATTATTAAACTGTTCTTATCTCAACCCAGGAGTGTTTTCACACTCATACTCCTCCGATCCTCTCCCCCATCCCACTGGGGCAGGGGGAGTGAGCGAGCAGCTGCGTGGTGCTTAGTTGGTGGCTGGGACTAAACCACGACAACCTCTAAAGAGTTTATGCGGTTTCTAATCTGTATACACAATTTGCGCCAGCATTAACAGGAAACCATGCAAAGATTGAAGGCAATACGCTCACTACATGTTAACAAGCAAGGTAGAAAGATATGTCAGTTCCTGTATTTCACACAGTGAATACCTTTGTCTGATCCAGTTCTGAGGAGAGGCTCTCTAAACTGCTGAAGTTTAAGATACGTTCAAGTGCAGAGCTTGCTTGATTGAGATATTTTACTACTGTTTCTTTGTCTCTTTCAAACTGCTCCCATTTATTTATTGTGACCTACGAAAACAAACAAACCAACCCAAAACAGGAACACAAAGACAAAAAGATCAAAGGGGAGAAAAAAAAAAATCATTGTAAGTTACTGAAGAAGGAAAAAAGAGAAGGACCTGACATAAAATAAAACAATTTCTCCTGAAATGCCTTCTACAGATGAAACTGTTCTGAACCCAATGAAAGTTCTCCCTGGAATTTTCACTGATTCATACTGCACTGTGCAAAAAAGCACTGTTCTCTAAGGTGCCAGAAATATTTAAATCTTATATTTGAATGTTGTAGAAGAAGTCTGAAGTAATAAATGCAGACGCTTATGATTATGGTAACAGGTAGTCAACAATACCTGAAAGGATTTTCAAATTCTCTAATGAAATAAATTACAGTAAGATGGAAGAAGAAAATCCCTACTCATAGGAAACTCACACATAAGAATCTATTTGTTCTTTTCTGAAAACATAAATTTTTGATTAACATACAGCATTTAATTACCAGTCACAAGAATTATGACAGTATAAACAAATATTTTCTTGATTCTGAAGTAAAGCAAGGCCCAAGTTAAGACTTTATATATGGGATTCCTTAGAAAAAAATTGTTTTCAATAATAAATTCTTACATTAAGAAGCTTTTTGAGCTCTGTAGATCATGTTTTTCATCTTGTGTTTTATCATAGGAAATAGTTTTGATGACTTTAAACATTTGTGTGAAATAGTGGACAGCTGGATTACCATCCTGCTTAGAGAAATGTAAAGGAAAACTCAGATATGGGCACAAGAAGCTAGAAATTCTAATCCCACTTCAGTCAGTGACTAGTAACACAACCTGGAGCAATCCATTTGATTTCTCTCTGACTTTTTCCTTCCTTCTCTAAATTTAGGATGGCAGCATGTATTTCACACAGTAGTTGTGAGGATTATATTTGCACAACATCAGGTATTATTAATCTAGTATCCAGCCGAAAGACTATCAATTAAAGGCCAGTGTCATCGTTCTTAACCAGGGAGACATCTAAAAATTAATTCACAGATACATTATTTAAAATATCTATTATGACTGAATAGTTGGGCCTTTTAAACACTTCCAAACAAAATGCTGTTTCTTTATTAATTAAGAGGTATCCAGCAGCTTCAAGAAGTTGTCATGGAGGTACTGATCATGAAAACCCCAAGGACCAAGATTCAGAGGTGAGAAAGTGAGGTCAGACTTTTTACATGAAAAAAATTTGGTTTTTACTAAGTTAAAAAAAAAAAAAAAGAAGAAGAAAAGCGCAGGTTTTTATTTCTACTTGCAAAGGACCCACCTGCAGTTGCTCTTCACGTTTCTCCATAGTCTGCTGCATGTTCTCCAATGTTCCTTCCAACTTTTGTAAATCCTCTTGCATTGTGCTGGGCAGTCCACCTTCAATCTGCAACTGTTTAGCTTGGGAAATCTGTTGTTGAACATCTTGCCTCTTTGCACGGAGTCTCCTTGTCCGTTGCTAAAAGGATTCATCCAACAGGAATGATTAGACTTTTTAGCCCCTCTAGGAAACTGGCACAATGAAACCACTTTCTGCTTTTGCAGGGGTATGCAATGAGAATAACAGACAAAGGGATAAACTGTGGCAAGTATTTCTGAGAGTCTCATATACTCATTAGATATAAGCCTTGGGTTCCAAAGTATGTATACAGCTTTTGTGGCATACAAATGGGAGAGAAAGAGTGACAGTATGGCCATTTATCCAAAGCAATATTTTAGAAAGCAGAAGCCCCAACAGTTGAGCAACTGCAGCAGTAGCCACAGGTGCATGTATTCCTCATGACTGCCTGGAAGCATCCCGGTTTGCTCTGCACTCTTTGAGGCACAGGTTGGAGCCTCAGATTGATCGAAGCGATATATCAGCCTTCCTTCATTAGAGAGCAGCAGGGGGATGGCCAAGTTGCATAACTCTTTCTTTGACGTGTTTTGCTTTGTAGCACTATCAGAAGCTCCTAAGACTACTTCCCCTATGCTTTCTTAACACGCCTGACCCATTGCCAGCCTTGCTAGGTAAGCTCACAGCTCCCTGCTCAATTCTACTCTGGGTACCTTCAGGTCTTTGTCAAAGTCTGTTTCTACCTTAACAGACTCCATATCAAAAGAAGAAGAGTCCAAGAACTCAAGGAGAAGTTACCTATTCCTTCTACCTCTCTTATGACGAGACGTCTTTAGGATGAGAGGAAATGGGCTTAAGCTGCACCAGGGGAGGTTTAGGTTGGAAATTAGGAAAAATTTCTTTATGGAAAGGGTGGTCAAGCATTGGAACAGGCTGCCCAGAGAGGTGGTGGAGTCACCATCCCTGGAAGTGTTCAAAAAACGGGTAGATGTGGCACTTCGGGATATGGTTTAGTCTAGTCTACCCTTGATTGGCTTAGACTAGACTTGGTAGTGTAGGTTAATGGTTGGACTGGATGATCTTAAAGGTCTTTTCCAACCTAAACGATTCTATGGTTCTATTCTATGACAGATGAGGAATGCAGAATATGGAAGGAACAAATATTAACCTTAACACATACAATAGCTTTTACAAACACCAGAGTTTAGATAACACAGAGGTAGTGCCTGGTCAGACAATAAGACATGTCTGACCTTACAGAAATAGATGTTCATACAAAACACTTAGAAGAGATGAGGCTAGAGGTACACCTCCCCTCCAGCATTTAGAGTTCGGGCCACATCAAGGCTGCTGAAGTCGAGAAATTTCCAAAACCAGGATCAGGCCAAATTTACCATGATCAAATCTGACATGCAAACTTTAAAAAGGTAAAAAGAGAGAGACTACATATTTGCAGAGTACACTTACCCAAAATTTCAAGTAAATGAAGCCTGTTTTTCAGGTGTTCTGTGCCCAAAAAACCCATGTGAAATAAAAGAATATTCAATGAAAGTTGAAAAACAAGCTCATCTTTGGGCATTAACATTTAAAAAATAATGAGCACTTTTTTCATTATAAGAAATCAATACTAGGCCATATGAGACCATTTCCTTTATAACTCTTTCAAGTTTAAATATAAAGAATTATGCTAATGGACATAACAAAATCTAGTATATATTCTACCTTAAAAAAAAAAAAGTCAAGTACGGACATGAGTAATTTCCCTACCTGATGATGAAGTAGTAGTTGCTGAGCTTGTAATAAACTTTCTGTATCCAGGATCTTTTCAGCCTCTGCTTGGGCTTCTTTAGAGTTGTTGATTAAGTCTTCAATCGCGCTTTTAACTTCTTCTTTGTACTGGACACAGTCTCCAACAGTGCCTAATGTCTTTTCAATCTACAATTATGGATAACTTTAAGTATTTCATGTTGAAAAGCACATCTATATTTTAAGGGCACATTTATATTTGGAATATTTTTTCAAAAGATACAGTAAATTGTCTAAATTCAAACCATTTTTTTTCTCCAGCATTCTCAACAGACACCTTTAACTTTACATTGGAAGAGTGACTGTAGACTTAAAATGTGATTGAGGAGACCTTTGTCTTGTTTAGACATACTCGCTATGACATTGCCATATGGTAAATAGCTGTTTGTGACAGCCGCTTATTGGTGATCAGTTAGAAAATACATGCTGTCCTCACCCTTGCAAGCTGACCCAGATTCTGAAACACCTGCGCTACTCAACTCACAGAACAATCTTGCTGCCTTTTGGACCTTCTACAGCAATGCCCTGGTGCCCAAATATGCATGTGGTGCAATATCCAGTCTCAGTTTGCATAATTTGATAAAGAAAAAGATATACTTATTCAACATATCAGAAAGTTCTTCCCTCTTCACATGATTCAGCTAACTACTTGTAGCTGATTCTCAGTACAGGCTCTGTTCCCCAGACAGTTCCTGTGTTTTAAGGTTTTAATCATAAAGAATTATACAAGTAAGAAACTCCTTTCTTTTCTTCCTCCCTTCCTTTCTTTCCTTCCAGTCCATAGTCACTTTGGAGGGTCATTCAGATTCAAGCCATTCTCTTTCCTGTTATATAAATGTTTAGTCTTTACTATCCAAAAGACATTACTGAACTCTGGAGATACCCAGTATCAGTCCTTGTCTAAACAGTCTCATCCATCTGATTAACAAGGTGTAAATTTAGCTGTAAAAAGTATTCAGACTTGTAAGAATCAGCAGTCTCTTAACTATTGTATAAAGTGCCATTTAGATTATGCTTTTAGATTCAAAACAAGTTTAGATTCTAGTTCTTATTTTCCTTTTTTACCATCATGAACCTGTGCTCTCCTTAGTTCTGACTTTTGGAGGAAACAAGCAAAAGTACTTTAATACAAAATAAACTAAAAAGATATTATCTTAAATTTTTGCTGTCACTTGGAAATCAGAACATTGGTTGCCCCAACTTTCTAAATGCAGTTTTCACACCACAGAAGTTTAAAGAAGTTTCAATAAATACATGGAACTTTTATACATTTGGAACACCTGCAAGGCCTCCACAAGGATCGACATTAACAATGGAATTTGAAGCCTGAAATCTTTCTGTATCCTGAACCATTTTTTCAAATGGATCTGTTCCTCCTTCTAAGTGTAAGATGTTCTAAGTTTCTCCTGATCTTTCTTTTTACTGTGAAAGCTGTGAAGTGGTAAGTTCCCTGAGATTCCACAGGACTCAAGTATTCAGTGGATTCTAAAAGGTTTTGCTTATCAGTTAGAAACTTCCCATGATTTCAGCAGTTACAGTACCTCATTATCATTCAGACCTCAGAGAACAGCAGCCTTTTCCTGCAAATTCAGTGCATGACAGACATCCTTAATGACGTGAAACTATCTCACAGTAGTTCCTTTATTATTTCAGCATAAAAGATACATAAATGAAGATTAAAGTCAAATTCTGTATCCACTAGCTCATGTACATCACGGTTTTGCCAATGTTTACTAAGAGCTGATTTTAGAAAACTATCTTTTGCCTCTAAAAATACTGACATTTTGATTCCAGAAACATTTACTATGATGCTTTCCAATCCTGCAAAGGGAAGAGATGCCTTACAATAATGCCAGTATTTTTTGCCTGCTACTCTCAAGGCTTTGCTACCCACGGAGTACAAATGAGGTTTTTGTTGCTGAATGCTTGCAGTTTAATTAAAAAAACACAGCAGGGAACTTATGCTTGTGAAGCCATGACTGATGTAATTTCATGTGACACTGGAAATGGAAAGTTCTTATGTCCCTCATACTGTACCTCAGCCAGCAAATCTAGGAGTCCCTTGAAGTCACTGGAAAGTTTACAAAGCTCATGCTCTGTCTTTTTGGCCTCCGAATCAGGACATACTGCAGTCAAAACAGCAAGTCTAGATTTCAGCCAGCTGTGATTTTCTCCTTGCTTGTTAATATGCTTCCTAATTTCCTGTGGAAGAATCAAAATGTATTTTCTTCAAATAAACAAAATTTATTAATGAGTGACATTCATGGCATCAGTTCAAAGATTAGTAGTGTAAACATACTACCTTTGTTCTTACCTTGAAACACTAGAAATGTAGTATTTTTTTTATTTGCATACCCTATCTGATTCTGTTCCAGTCTAGGTTTTTGGCTAGATTTTTGCATTTCCTCCACAGATTTTACTCCAGTACTACTTATTAGACTGGTTTTTAATAAGTAGTAGTGGAGTACTTTTTCCTCACAAACTAATATTTTACATACAGATAGATAGATGGATGGTAAATACCATGTATATATTTTCCATATATTGACCAAATTTCTTAATTACCATTTAAATATTAAATGCTGACTTTCCCAAACATAAAATTTCATGTGATATAAGGTTTTGCGTGGTTTTTTTCCCTATTTAAATAGCTCTTTTTTCCCCTCTTTTCACCCAGTAGTTAATTTATATCTTTGTGCCAGTGCTGATGAGAAGTTGCCAGCAGTAAAACTGCATGAGTAAATCAGACTTTTTGGAGCAGAAGCACCGATTAAGCTAAAGGTCTATCTGCTTTATCAAGGTCATCCTAATTGTGTTTCTGTGCAGTTGGCCTCATAACCTGCTCATGACTTTCACACAAACTCCTACAGTATGTGACATTGCTATTTTTGTTCCTAGTATGTGAAATAAAAAATAGAAATAAGGGTCAAGCTATGTCCTAAGTGACACAATAAATTATTGCCCAAAACTAATTTAACCAAACAACTCAATTTTCAACTATTCCACTACTTCTGTTACCAGTCACCAATGCAAAAGCGAATGGTAGAATAACTTTGCCTCCCCTGTTACCCTATCATAGAAGAGAATTTTTATTATAGAAGATCGCCCTAAATGTAAGACAGTAACTCGATCCTTCAAAAATGCCCAGTCCAGAAATTTTGGCTTTTCTTTGCACAGCACTTTTAACTATGCATGCAGCAAGATGAGGGGCAAGTATTTATTTTATCTGCTTTTATATTTTGGATGTTCTGAATATGCAGGTAAAGGACCTGCCATTCTCTAAATTATTATAAAGTAGGAACTTCTGCCACACTTTGCTGCATGTTGAACTTCTTCTGGAAATGTTTTTAAGAATACCAGGAATCAGCAGAGCTACTGTGGTGTCCATAGTAAAAGAGTTGCACTACTTCAGAATACAGTTTTATCCAGAGTCCCAGTAGCAATGACTGTAGCTTTGTTACAATATAAGCCAAAGGCTCACCCCCACAGATGCTTTACAGTGCTTGTATTTGGCAGTATCATTGACACTTTCCTTTATCTTCTTTAGCTCTCTTTCTGTTGATGAAATCCAATTTGCCAATTCAGAAAATCTGAAATTAAACACCACATAATGCAAAGCAAGGAACAAAGTTAGACAAAAATTGCCACCACCAAATGGTAACCTCTTAAATTTAAGCCAAAAATTATAAAATCACTAAAAAACCCATTATAATTTGTGGAATTACTACATAAAGTATAGTTTTCTACTTGAAGCTAACAATATAGTATCATTCTTTGTGTGGTACTGGTCTATGACAACTTTTAAAGGAGTGACCACACGTAAGACTTTATGAGACCCAGCTAGCAATTGAGCTGACACCTGTTCTTATAGCCCTTCCAGGTATCTGAGTGCTCTTTTAGCTTTATGTATGTGTTGTCTATCTGGGATTTGAGCTCCTTCAGGATTCGTTGGCTGCTTTCCAATGTAGCCCTCACTGGATCAGAAACTGGCAGTTTTTGGCACAGTTCTTCAATCCGTTGTAGCCTTTTCTCACACAGCTGGTAAGGTCCCTTGTCACCAAAGAACAACTGATGGGAGAGAAACAGAAAATGCAATAAAAATAAAAATTGGCAGAAATCACAAAGCATGTCTGTATATTTGTTATGAACTATACTAAGCTCAAATCAAAATTTTTGTTAAAGTCCCCAAGGATTGTTCTGATTTAGTTTTGCACAGAGTGTTTGGTGGCTTAAGAGTTGGTCAGACCTTCCATTATTGACATTGAAGTGTATTTCTGTAAATGCCCACGTGGTGGCACATAAGTCATACCATGTGTTCCTCGATCATCCTTTCATTGCGTTCTCGTGATAACACCTTGTTCTGTCGAGCTAGTTCAGCTTTGCACTCCTCCACTGTGACCAGGAACTTGCTTTTCTGTACTTCAATCTTCAAGTGGATCAAATGATAAGGGGCTTCTGTTTGAAGATCCTACACACCCACAGGGGCAATAAACAAGCACAGAGATAAAACACTACTCCCATTACCTCAGTGTGAAATTACTACAAATAAATAATCTAAAACCTGATTATATAAAAACCCCCATATATATATGCATGAACAGGTGGGGGTTTCTCTGTATTCATTTAAGTAAATAAAGCAACTCTGTTACCAATATCTCTTAGATGTATCCTATTTTTGGTGACTAGAATATGGCACATTACAGAGCTGTCTTGATTCTTGGCAAGATATACCAAATATTTCCTGTATAACACAATAAAGCAAACAATAATAGTGAAGCTATATTCACAACTGCTTCCAGAGGTTCCTGTTTGCATGTTAGTGAGAAACCACTCACCCATCACTCCAGCTTTGACCCACAACATGCTGTAGCAGGCAAAAAATTCCATAGCTTATGACCAATGTTTTTTCAGTTGTTAGAGCCTTTGGCAGAAGACACATTTTAAACTGATAGCCTGATCTCTTACAAATTTGTTTTATTAAGGTTGGGAAAGTAACTGCAATCATCCAACATCAGCATAAAGCAAGAAAAGCTAGCACTAATTCTCAACAAATGTTTTTAACACAGGTATCATTATGGCTATATGTAGAGGGAGAAATTAAGGTTTTGTAATTAATTTCTCACATTTCTTGACCTTTGACCACTTTACTTAATAGGGCTTTTTCAAGAGGCTATTTATAGGTGTAACTGTGTCTAAAGTTGTAAAATGTATTTTTTGTCCAATTGTACAGGAAGCCAAAAAATACAACTTTTTTTTTTTCATTATTTTAAAATTTTTCAACATATAGGTCATGCAGAAATATTCCAAAGTTAAGACATGCAATTTCCAGGGACATCATTCAATGTCACTAACCTTCCACTGCCTATGGAGTTTTCTCACAGCTTCCTGCAGGTTGTGTTGCTCTTGTTCTGGAAGGATGTCAGTAAGTTCATCGCACGCTTTCAGAAAGGCATTTAGGACTCTCTGATCCAACTGGTTAAAGAATTCCTGAAGTTGAGGCAGAAAGTGAGAAGGTGAGAAGATGAAGCTGGTTACTGATATGGTACCCTGCCAACATGAAGTTCCCTTTGTACACGCTCTGTAAGTTTCAAGGTTACTTCTGCTGCATTGAAGATTGAAGTTTGAGCTAAGGAAAGAACTATTTCTAGCTATTTAAAGTCCACCAGATTAATTTATTCTCAGCCAGTACACTGAGATGGTATTTTAACAAGAATACATTTTAAAGCTACATGCATAATTAATGTTTATAATACAGGCACAGATATTCATCTGAAAAAAAAAGCAGTGGATGCATGAGACTGGCAAAATGTAGTCTCCTCACTCCCAGTGGTTCTACTAATTTCTAGGGGGTCTTCTCTCTTCACCTTCTGGTTGCTTACATTCACCAATAAGAGGGGTGATCTTTTTTCCTTTTTGTTTTTCAATCTTAGCATTAGTTTGACCTGATCTGTATAACTTCTACATGTGAAAGAAATCCACATAGATTTTAAAATTAAGTAGGTTATTCACTTATATGTCATGCACTCAAAGATTTCCATGAGGAAGGTCAGAGAATTTACTCACGCTATGTTTCCTGAGAAGTTCTTCAGGATTTCCTTTTTCTTTTAAGCAACAATTGGCAATCTGTATTACTTTCTCCAGTTCTGCTCTAGACTCCTCAAATTTCTTCATCAAACGGCTATTTGCTTCTATGTCTTTTCTCCAGTCACCAGCTTTCCTGACCATATTCTGAGTTATAAGCAAAGAAAATGAGCTGGCACTTTCTCACTGATTTTTATTTGCTCTCTTTTAACATGATCTTACAAAAAATACATGCGATTGGTGTCACACTCGTTCAAGTGTATGCTGTTCACAAGTGCTTCTCCCTTTCATGCTCCCATTTTCCTAATTTTTAATACTTATATTAAGGCTTGCCATCCTTCATTCAAATAAAAATGGGTTACTGTCTAATACAGATGTCTCACCCTCAGAATGCCGCTACTATTTGGCTAGTATTTCTTCCCTAAAGCATGCTTTCAAATGTAAAGCTTGCCATTCCATTTTTCCTAGTAGCAGACTACCTCCTCCTACATGACTCTACATGAAGGTGGTTTGACCTATGGGTCCAACCAGTTCCATGATACAGGTCTTCTGACCTGGAGGAGGTTTGTACGATTATCACACTAGTAGGCCAGATAAGCAACCAGGTAGAAAGCTGCTTAAAAGAAAGACAGCAAATTTTGTGGTTTAGTTGCTACTCTGAAATCCTCTCGTTTTGAAACCTTAGTCACAGCTCTTCATTATTCTTCTTTGTAGTCTGTCCCAGTGCACTGCATTATCCAGTGGTTACAATTTTATCAGCAAGTAACAAAACTTACCAGGAGAAATGAACAGTTCACCTGTTCCATGGCAGCAAGGCAATTCCAACACTGCTTACTAACCATATGCTTTACCATCCTGTCTGATTACAAACTCCAGTGTAAAGAATTGTAATGATTTTACCTGGTGACCTAATCAAATCTGCACTTCTCAACCTAAACATCTTGCTAAGCCTTTTTAAAGTTTCGTTATAAAAATGTGTGTATAATAATAGAAGCATATAGGAATGTATTCTTTACATGAGAAAATGCCTGTTTCCAGATCCATAAATACTTTAGCTCTGGGCATGACACATTTTGTATAGTTATACCATGTTTTATAGGTTTATTTTCTAAGATAAAAAGACATAAATCACCATCCATCTTTATAGAAACAGAATAATTAATTTTCAACATGCTAAATTGAACAAGCTACAACAGTATCTGCTTCTGTTACTATAAGCTAAACTTAAATAGTGATTTCTAAGTTGTAAATCAAAACCCACTGATCTTTAAGTACAACCTACAAAATACAATATAAACTTTGAAATCCACCCTTCAGAGACAGCTCTTTACTGATAGGTGATTTTCTGTAGCTTAACATTCAGTTTAGATAGCTTTATACTGAACAATAACTGCCTGAAAACAAATCTAAAAGAACCCAACATCCGGAGATCTGACTCCAAGATAATGGTTAATTTCATGCTACAGTGGGGCTAGACTTGGGCTGAATAGCCCCGAAAATATCCGTATGGCTAATAACAACATAGAGCCCTACAGGTAAGGGGGATTATAGCCCAAAGTACACATCTTTATGTTAACAAATGCAAATACCTATTTGCAACTTTGTATCTTCACAATCCACTGCATTTTCTGAAGAAATGCCAAGCCCAGCAATAGTAGCATTTGCAAAAGTTTCCATCTTCCATGGTTTGTGTGAAAGGGGATGTATGGGAATATAGCAGCAAATAATTAGCCAATATAACAAAGTCAGGAGAAACAAAAAACAGTGCAGCCCTAACAGGTGGATTTCAGGCTCCTCGTTCCAAAGGAGCCTGAGACATGAAAGTTCTTAAATCCTGGGTTCCTCTGAGGCAGGCTCACCTCTGAGTTACTGCATGGAGAACACGACCACCAGTCCCCTGACCACTTACCACCTAATACAGACAAATCCTTAATTAATAACTTGACACCAGAAAGGAGAGCTCTCTTTGACAGTAGCTACAGAGTGATGAAATGGAGATACAGTAGGATGGATCAGCTGCGTGTGAACAAGCTTTCAAAAATATGCACCAAGTTATGTATGATGATTACCTGAAAAGTAATCTGAACTTGTGTAACTTTCTTCTGAAATGTTGACTGCTGGAAATGCTGTAACACCTCACTTGAAGCCACACACTGCAGGATACTCTGACTATTTCTCTCAATCAGGGACAAATCTTTCTTGCAGTTTTCTTGATAAGCTACCAGATCCTGAAAGAAAAAAACATATATCCACCCTGGCCAGGAACAAAGGAGAGAAAAGTTTGGCAAAATAACAGGAAGATATTTTTTCACAACAAGAACAAAAGGGACGAGGTCAAAGCACCATGACAAACAGACTGCACAAAATGTTATACAGAATAACACAGACCACACAACTTTCTCCTGGTATGCAGATTCCTGTACCCAAATAGAGCTCTAGCTATCTAAAAAAAAAAGGCACAGACATGTACCCAAGCCTTTTGGGTAGTTTTAGAGAACACATTATTCTGTGATTTAATGTTATGGGATGTCTATATTTATTGTACAAATGTAAGTAGGCAGCAGTGAAAACAGTAGGTACAAGAATGACAACTGTCAGTAGCTGGTTGAGATGTTAACCTTTCTGGTCTTTCAACAAATTAACCTTTCATGTCAGGTATTGGAATTCAGATTTCATTACAAATGGCATTAAGTAATGAGAATTATACTTTAAAAAGAGAGAGGGGGGAAAAGAAAACATGCATAAACTTGCACAAGTTGAAAAAAAGTTTTAAAAACAACCTGTGGTGAGGAGGCTGTTCTGCTATTGAAGTAACCTAACCCTCTATTCCTCAGTACAAATTTCTCTTTACTCTCTGATCAGCAGAAACCTGCACCCTCTGTATAACTGAGGAGGTTTTAGTTCCTTGGTTGGCAAATAACAGAAGAAACATGTCTTTTTATTGTAACATTCTGAGGCAGGTTAACCTTCAGAAGCAGAGGAAAGGAGCACTCTTATGAGCTGCTCCTTAACCTGCAGGCTGGACACATGACTCGGCTCGTGTTCATAAACAGAAGAGGACTTACTCAGGAAGATAAATGGGCTGGCTTGATTCAACCTCACCAAATCGTTTTTTACCAAAACCAAATCAAAGCTTGAAGTCACTGGAAAAGAAGACCCTTCTTGTTGAATTACTGGGCTAATCTTCAGATTCATTATGTGCTTGAAGTTATTTTTATATATATATTTATATATATATACACACATGA